GGAGACCTGTACACATGTGACAAACACACACATACACACATAAAAATTTCAGGCTAGACAGTGGTGGCGCATGCCTTTAAGCCCAGCACTTGGGAGACAGAGGCAGGAAGATTTATGTGAGTTTGAGGCCTGGCTGGCCTACAGAGCAGCTTCCAGGACAGTTCCAAAGCTACAAAGAGAAACCCTTTCTGGGCTGGAAATATGGCTTGGTGGTTACAAGCACTTGTTCTTGCAGAGGACCCAGGTTCGACTCCCAGAACCTACATGATGGCCCACAACTGTCTGTAACTCCAGTTCCAGGCCATCCAATGATTTCTTCTGAGCTCTGCAGTCATTAGGCATGAAATGGTACACAGACAACATGCAGACAAAACAGCCATACATGGAAAAATGTTTTTAAGATTTGTTTTTATTGTATATATACGGGTGTTTTGCCTAAAAGTATGTCTATGAGCAATATGAGTACCTGGTACCTTTGGAAGTCAGAAGAGGGCATAAGATCCCTGGGAACTGAAATTATAGACAATTATAAGCTATATGATGAGGGTATGAGGAATTGAACCCAGAACCTCTGTAAAAGCAACCACAAAGCTGCCTCTACAGCCCCCATGTAGTCAGTTTTTTAAAATGTGTATAGTCAATTTGACATACAAACTAGAGTCATCTGAAATGAGGGAACTCAAATGAGAAAATGTCTCTATAAGATCTGTCTGTAAGGTATTTTCTTAACTAGTAATTGATGGGGGAAGGGCTCAGCTCCTTGCGGGTGGTGCCATCCCTGGGCAGGTGGTCCTGGGTTCTATAAGAAAGCAAGCTGTGATGAGTGGTGGTGGCACACACTTTTAATCACAGAACTTTGGAGGCAGAGGCAGGTGGATCTCTGTGAGTTCAAGGCCAGCCTGGTTTATGTAGTGAGTTCCAGGGTAGGCTTCAAAGCTACAGAGAAACCCTATCTTGAAAAACAAAACAAAAAAGAAAGAAAGGAGGGAAGAAAAAGAAAGAAAGAAAGAAAGAAAGAAAGAAAGAAAGAAAGAAAGAAAGAAAGAAAGAAGCCTCCATGGCCCCTGTATCAGCTCTTGTCTCCAGGTTCCTGCCCTGTTTGAGTTTCTGTCCTGACTGCCTTTAATGATAAATAGTGATATGACAGTGTAAACTGAATAAACCCTTTTCTCCCCAACTTGCTTTTTGGTCATGGTGTTTTGTTGCAGCGGTAGAAACCCTAACTAAGATAGTTCCCTGTCTTCCATTCTTCCACTAACCACTAAACTGAAGTTGAATAAGCTTTGTGAACTACAGGCATGATCATCACTTCCCAGATAATCAGAAATTGTCAATGGCCCCAGCAGTACCTGTCCACTGAAGAACACAAAGCCAGGAACACGAGGCTTGGGAGCAAGGCAGGGAACACGAGGAGGTAACAGCTATGTTTTATGATTTCATTTTGCACATAAACCCAAAAGGTGTGTCCATGTTTATTGTGAGCATGTATTTTCTCTTATAAAATTGTATTCATCACTGGGCAGTGGTGGTGCATGCCTTTAATCCCAGCTCTCAGGAGGCAGAAACTAGCATTCTGTGAGTTGGAGGCCAGCCTGGTCTACAAAGTGAGTTCCAGGACAGCCATGTAGTTACACAGAGAGATCCTGTCTTGAGGAACAAAAGAAAGGAAGGAAGGAAGGAAGGAAGGAAGGAAGGAAGGAAGGAAGGAAGGAAGGAAGGAAAGAAGAAGAGGCTATATATAATAAAGTATTTATGTTAAATGAATTGTATTTGTCAGTTCTAGGAACCAAAGCCTGCTTGTTTGGCTATGACTGTGAGTGAAACTCTAGAGTGAAAAGACCTCACTGAAGTGCAGGCCTTTGACAATGAATGAATTTCTTAATGAAAACCTCCATTGCATGTCTCCCAGAATGCCTCTCCCTCTGTAAATTGTAACCCTAGCCATCTCCCAGCCTGAACTAGGGTTTTTCACTCTGACTGTTGCTTCCTGCCCCTCAGATGCCTTTGCTGTTTTCCCTTTCAGGGTCTGTACTCAGCATTCAAGGCCCAGCGATATCACGGTTGCTCTGAAAAGCATCCAGATGCCCCTGTCAGCTGTGACTCCCCCATCTGGCTCTTGAGATAACCGTAACATCATTCCCAGATTTCATTTCTCTCCACACCTCTGGTCAGTCCATGTCTTGCCTTTACCAGTGCCTTACACAGGATGTGAACTGCACCACATCAGACACTGCCACAGGCAAAAGACAGGGGCTTGGGTTAGTGGAAGGCCTGAAGCTTGTTCTACCATACCGTTGCCATGACTCCAGAAACCATTGTCCCCCACAGTACTTACTGGGAGTCTTGCAAGATACACAAGTCTATCCTGCTTGACACTGAGGACTCAAGGGAGAACATCATTTTTGTTCAGTGATTCATTTATGACTCCATTTATTAACACCCACAGGGACTTCTGTTCTCTAAACAAAAACTTCATTATTCTTTTATTTAAAGATTATTATTGTTGTATGTGTTCTGTGCACGTGCCAGTGAGTGTATTCCACTTGTGTATAAGAGCCCATAGATGCCAGAAGAGAGCATCTGGTCCCCTAGAGCTGGAGTTATAGGCAGTTGCAGCTGCCTGATATAGGTGCTGGGAGCCAAGTTCAGGTCCTCAGAGAGAACAGCCTGTCCTTTTAACCACTAAGCCACCTCTCCATTTCCATCATTCTTTAACTAAATAAACAAAAGACAAAAAACAAAAATACAATTTAAAAAAGCAGAAACAAAGCCCAGTTTCCTAGTGAATCTTTTGAGGCAAATGAACACTCAGTGAGTGCTTGGTTTTGACCTTGAATAGCTGTCAGAGCTGCTGCCTGGGCCCTGATAATGTTTCCCCTTATTCAGCATCTCTGTCCACCATCTCTGATGCTTTTCTCAGAAGCCCCTGTGACAGTGAGGGCTATGACAGTCATGTACAGTTCTTGCTCTCTATTCAAGCTTCATTACCATACAGTATCAGATAGATTTTTAAAAATTAACCTGAAGTTACACAACTCAGACAATGTGCCACAACATAGTTCTCCTCTTTTGTCTCACAGAGCAGCTGAAATTCCGAAGTACAGACAAAGCCATCCATTTTCTGAATCCTCCAGTTTGTGCAACAGAATCTTATCCACACAGTCTTCACTAACTACCGTACAGTCTAGTCATGCCTAGAACTATACCAACACCAGTAGATTTTGACCACAATTCCCCACAGATTTCGAAGTGCCAGAAAAGGATCAGGTCATACAGATAACATCAAAACCCAGCCATTTTCACTCTTCAAAACACAGCAGAGTGATGAGTATTCTGGTGTGAACCAACTTCCTTTAATGAAAGATATCTTTGAAGACCCAAATGCATTGAAGATCCACATTTGATTCAAAGTCACCACACAGACACCATAAGGTTACAAAACCACGATGCAGAACATAATGCTAGTTCCAATAGAATGGTCACCCAAAGTATACCTGCCTAGGCATAGCATATGGGGAAACTGAAGACCATTCAGCAAGACAGGAGAATATGAATGTAGGAAAGAGAAACAAGCAAGCATATAGGCAGAGAGAGGCTCTTACTAATACTTTCCAGATGTTTCTAGAAGGCAAGTATATCAGAGGACCCTGGACCAAGAAAGTAGCATTCCCAGAAGTGATTAAAATTCTCTTTTTTAACCTCTAGATTTGAAAGGCTGACCATTCACGGTGTGCATGACAAGTTCCTCCCAGCTGTGGTTTAGGTTCACAGGGATGGACTTGGGTCAGCTGGTACAGATGGACTGATATGGTGAGGAATTGAACAAGCTTGTAGTTTTCTCTATTTTGTTACTCAAAGTTGTTTTTGTTTTTCTTTAATTCCCAATTCCCAGTGGGGAAAGATGTCATGTAAACTTTACCCAGGAAGAGTATGTGTCGAACACCCAACTCTGTTTCCATCACCTGGTCTTTTGCACTGGGTGTGAGAGTGCCTACCTGTGTATGAGTGAGTCAACAGTCAGCAGTCCAAGTCTTCCTCAATTGCTGCCCACCTTCTCAACTGCTACCCTAAGACTGTCTTCACATGACAGTGTTGAAGAATAAGACCATACGTTTCCTAGAAATCTACAGGGATGCATGGAGATGCCACCTTGGATGTTTCTAAGAATCTTAAGGATTTTACCCCTATCTTGTGTTTTTCCCCTGGCAACACTGGAAAGCAAGGACATGAAGGGAATGCCCTGGCATGTCCACATTATCTTTGTGGGAAAGGCTAAGGCCTGGGAGGAATATTCTTAGCTCTTTTCACAAAACCAAAGAGGATAATGACACCTGGTATGTTTCCTTGCTGTTCTTGTACTTGCTTAAGCTGATTATAAACATCACCTCACGTTTTGCTTGCTTTAATAAAAATGAAAAGTGCTTTGCACTACTCTTGAGCTCAAATGTCTGGAGTCCCCTGACTCCTCAAGCAGGTCTTTGGAATATCATAGCATCTGCAGAGACTTAGCCTCGCTGGTCACAGGGCAGGTGGAGAAACAAGTAATCTGCAAGAAGGTCCCATGGACCTCTTCAGATCTATTTTATTGTATTCCTCTTACATTATCATTTATCAATTTACCATCTATCTACCTATGAATCATCTATTGGTTTGTTCAAGCAGGGTCTCACTATGCAGCCCTAGCTGGCCTGAAACCGGCCAGACTGGCCTTGAACTCAAGAGATCTGTCTCTGAAGCGCTGGGATTAAAAGCATATGCCACGATTGGCCTAATCTATTTATCATCTATCTTTTATCTATCTGCATTCTAGCTATCTTCTATCATCTAATCACCATCCTTTTTGGATTATCAACATGTGGAAAGAGAACCAGAACACATCATGAACAAGCAGGCAAGGCTGACAGTAGCAGATTGGACACTCTCGGGATCAAAGGTTAGCCGACTGGTAAAAAGCATGACGCATTCAAGCAGCGCCGGAAGCAGGGAACGCGGGACCGTGACGTAACCGCGTAGTGCCGGAAGCGGCTGAGCGGGCCATGGAGGACGGACCCGCGGGCGGAAACCTCCCGCGAGAGGCCTCGACTGAGGAGGCTGAGCCGCTGGGTGCTACGTGGAGCGGGGACAGCGGCCACGTGTCGCAGAGCCAGAGCAGCGCGTCAGGGCCGTGGGAGGATGATGGCTCCGAGGACGCGCCGGGCCGCGACCTGCCGCTGCTGCGCCGTGCTGCCTTGGGTTACGCCTCCAGCCTGCTGCCGGCCGCGGGGCCGCGGCCCGAGGTGGAGGCTCTGGACGCCAGCCTGGAAGACCTGCTGGCCAGGGTGGACGAGTTCGTGGGCATGCTGGACATGATTCGCGGAGACTCGTCCCACGTGGTGAGCGAGGGCGTGCCGCGGATTCACGCCAAAGCCGCGGAGATGAGGCGCATCTACGGCCGGATCGACAAGCTCGAGGCTTTCGTGCGGATGATCGGCTGCAGCGTGGCCAGGATGGAGGAGCAGGTCACCAAGGCCGAGGCCGAGCTGGGGACCTTCCCTCGGGCCTTCCGGAGGCTGTTGCACACCATCAGCGTCCCCGCTCTCTTCAAGTCCGCACCCACCGGGCCCCAGCGTTCCGCCTACGAACCGCCGGTCCTGTTTCGGACCGAGGACCACTTCCCCGGCTGCGATGACAGACCGCAGCTCTGATCCTGCACCTTTACCGCAGGAGAACTGCAGTAAGACTCTTGTTCCGAGTGTTAAGAGATCCTGCCAAACCGGTGTATATGATATCGGAATGTGAACTGTTAAAAGTGTATTTTCTGCAAACGACTCGATATCGTCAATATTCAATGTCGAGAATGTAGATCCCCGTGTCTTCCAGTTCTGATCCTAAAGTTGTTTGGTGGTGGGGTCTGGGGGAGCCAACTGAATTAATTTATCTGTGCAATATGGCAGAGCTGTTATTTTTGTGGCCTTTATTACAGTTAACAGTGTTACCTTAAGATTTATATATTTATATGATCAAAAGTGACCAAGAAATTAAAGCTGTATTCTTAAATCCTAACAGTGAAGTGGTTCAGTTTTTGTAGCTTTCTAGGATAGATGGCAGATTATTTAGTATCATATTCAACTTTACAGATTGTAGGCCAAAGGAAATAAGATAGTTTCTCGATGTAGCCAAACTGGGTGTGTTTTGTTGCAGCAAGTTTTGAAGTTGTATTTGACAGTATGATTCAAAGGCTTAGTTTATCATAGCAAGCATATTAATGTATGGTTATCAGTGTTCAGTTGATAGCACATTAATTAAAATGTTAAATTTCATTGAAGGAGGTTTCCTTCTGGAAATTATTTAATGTATTTCCTGTTTCGTTTGGAAATAAGCCTGTCGTTCATGTTTTTAATAGTGGAGTAAGAAAAGGCAGCTTCCTTCTTCAAAAGCTGGTGTGAAAAACCAACCTTGCTGCTGTCTTCACTGCTCTGCTTTCTCCCTGGGTCCCATGGGAGTCGTAGGAGGGATTTGTTCTTTCACTTCGGGGATACAGAATGTGTGAAGGCCTCTTACTAACAAACTACAGTTCCCTAAGTTGGTTCTCCCAGGCAGTAGCCTCAAGGAAGTACTCAGCTGGGTGCATTGCTGTCAGTGAGGGTAAGTAAAATCAGCAATAGAGCCGGGTGTGATGGCACACATTGCAGTCCCAGCACTCGGGACGCTGGCAGGAAGAGCACAGGTACCAGGATAGCCTGGGCTATAGAGTAAGTTCCAAGTCAGCTTAGATAGCTAGGAAGACCATGGATCAGAAAATAAATGACTTAGCCAGGCACAGTGAAGCATGTCTCTAATCCCAGCACTCAGGAGGCAGAGGTAGGCAGATCGCTATTAGTTTGAGGCCAGCCTGATCTACATAGAGAGTTCGAGGACAGCCAGGGCTACATAAAGAAAACCCATCTCCGAAAACAAATAAACTTGATAATGAAATCTCATTTTTGGCTTTTCATGGACCTTCTGTGTTTTATGGTGACATTTATTCATTTGGCTTGTGGTTCAAATCAAAGAACATGTAAGTTTAGGTAAACAAGTGGCCTACATTTGCTGTTCAGAATCTAGTGGGTGCTACTACAAGTTATGTATTTATTTCTGTCACAGTCACTGAATGTGAAAACAGAGTTCCAGACCAACCTGTGCTAAAGAGTAGCACCCTGTCTCAAAAACACCAAAAAAAGATTGCTTCCATAGGTGCATGGCTCTGCAGTTAAGAGCATGGTCTTTTCCCCCATCCACTTCATTTTTGTGAGAGCTCACAATGCCTGAAGCTCCGCTCCACAGGATCTACCTGATGCTCTCCTCTAGCCTCTGAGGTCACCTGCACTCAAATGCACAAACCCATGCTCCCGCACAGAAGTACGGATGATTGTAAATAAATTCTCTTTAAAAGATTGTTTATCCCTGGCCATGATGGCACATGCCTTTAATCCTAGTGGAAGGCAATGGCAAGCAGATCTCTGAGTTCAAGGCCAGCCTAATCCACAGAGCAAGTTCCAGGAAGCAAGGGCTGTGCAGAAAAACCCTGTCTTGAGAAACAACAAAAGATTGTTTGTATATCTTTAGAAAAAATGGATTTTAAACATTCTTCAAGATAGCATAGTAAATAGGACAAAGTGTGAAAATATTTAAAATGTGAAATTTAGTTTCTATACAGTAAAACCCTTAAATTTCAGAAAGCACAAATTAAGTGTTCTATAAAGTAATCGATTATGTTACATATTAGAAAACCATAAGCTAGGCTGAGAAAAAAGTGATAAGTGCTAGGGAAAGAGACTCAATGTTTTAAAGCTCATCATAAAGCCTTCAGATAGTATATGCAGAAGTCCTGGTTCCAATGATAACTTGCATACTTCCCTGTGAGCCTTATTTCCAATGCATGCAGGTGCCTGAAATTCCAGTTAGCGGGTACTTCTGGGAATTCCAGTAGAGATGTGTGAAGAGTTGCTGGCTTGCATGGTACAGGACATTAGATGAAGGTCATTTGCCTGCCTCAAAAATGGAGGTTGCAGCTAAATATGACTAATACCTGTAATCCCAGCAAAAACAAAAGGAATGTAGGTGCTCCTATACTGTTTGGCAGTGCTGCCTCCAGGCTTCTTGGCTCCCTCTTCTGACTTGGACACCTCAGGAACCTCTGGATCTTTGAAAACTGTTTCTTCTTCCCACGTAGGAAAAGTCTTTGTAGCCCATTCATTAAATATAGGACAGGGGCTGGAGAGATGGCTCAGTGACTAAGAGTATTGGCTGCTGTTCCAGAGGACACCAGTTCAATTCCCAGCAACCATGTGGAGGCTCACAGCTATCTGTAACTCCAGTTTGGAGAGCGTCAAGCCAGAACTTTCAGGGGTCAGTCTTGAAACTGTTCCTATTGCCTGGTGTGAACCTGCTAACCAATACAGGGAGCAGTCAATACTGCCCAAAAGGCCAGTTGGCCAAGGTTTTAAAATCATAGGCATATGGTCCCATGGCTGATCACCTGCTCTTACAGTGCAGAAACATCTGGAGACCATGTGTAAACCACTGTGCATGGCTGTATGCCAATAACACAGTTCTTGAGACATAGGAGATACAAAAGGGCTGAGGAGATGACAGTGGGTAATGTGCTGGCTATGCAGGCATGATGACCTCAGTCTGCCTCTCCAGCTGGGCATAAAATATGGCTATGGTGTTGTGCATCTGTAACCCCAGCCAGCACTGAGGGGCAGAGACAAGTGGATCACAGGAGATCTCTGGCCAGCCATTCTAGGTAAACAGCTCTAGGCTCAGTAAGAAACACACACACACACACACACACACACACACACACACACACACAGTGGGTGTTAAAACCCCACAATTAAAACTCTAATAATGGGAAGGCCCAGTGTCAGTTCCTAAGGATGTTTTCCTTGCTGTTCAAACTGAACAAGATGAAAGAGGGGTCAGGATGTGTGGCAGGGAGTGCAGGTCTTATGAGACCTAGTCACAAAAATGTGGAGTCCCACTATGGGGTCCTACCTGACTAGTGACTGACTTTCTGAACTTGGTCACAGCACTATCTTCTGAGTTCTGTTCCTGAGGGTGGTCTGCTGTTAAGAAAGAAAGCAGTGGCATCAAGTTGTCACTGGATTGTCCCCAGTGCACCCCCATAGCCCACAGGCACCACCAGCAGCTCTGGGTGGTTGCCGGTTTTTTTCCTTGCTCTCCACATTGTACACACAAGCTAGGGTGGGTTTAAAAGCTGAGTCTGGCTGGGAGATGGCTCTGTTTATAAAGTGCTTGCTCTGTATGCTCTAGCGCCTGAGTTTGAAAGACCAGGTATGGTTATATGCACTTACCAGGAGGCAGAGGCAGTAGGACCCCTGGAACTTGCTTGTTAGCCAGCCTAGCCTACATGGGTGAGCTATGAGAAACTCCATTGCAAAAGAAACAAAAACAAGGTGCATGGTGTGTCCTGAGAAATGATACGCAAAGCTGTCTTCTGTCCTTTCCATGCATGGTCACACACATGCACACATATGTACATACACACACACTCACAGCCACACACCCACAAAACTTGTGTGGGCACTAGAATAAAACCAGAAATCTGTTGTGGGCTGCTGGTTCCCATAGGACCCAAACCCAACACCACAACAACCTTATTTCCTGTTTGAGAGAGGCCCAGAGTGCCCTGTATATCAGTGGCTGTGGCATTCATTATCTAACTAACCTGCCTCACCACCTGCAGGCATGACCATGGGGATGCCCACTCTATGGATCCTGCTTGGCTTGCCTGGATTCTCAGCAATAGCAATGTGCTAGGAACATTCAGATGTCTGTCAAATGAAAGTCTGGCTCAGTGAGTGAGCTATACCATAACTGGGTACGGTAACAAAACAGAAAAGCAAATAAACTTATGTTCGCCAGGAAGCCAATACCATAGGAGGGCCAAGAACACACAGAGAAAATATGGGATTTCTGACCCAAGAACAAGGCAGACAGGTAGCAGAGACCAGATGCCAGTTTAGTCCAAACCATGGTTCCAAGACTACACTGGTTAAACCCAATACATGTATTTCTAGGGGAACCATGTGGGCTTTGTGCTAACGCCACCAAGCATAAGAGCAGGACGTGTGTAGAATTCACAGTTTCTAAGAAGATCTTAAATGTGCTATGAGGCTATAAAGTCAAGAACATTTTTCAAAGTGGCCTAAACCATTAGTCCATCAATGGAGAGCAAAAACATTCCTTTTAGGCTCTTCCTCGACAAAAGAGGGAGGGAGGGCATCCTTGCAGTGAAAGCCAGCTGGGGAAAGTGAGATAAAAAGGTGGTTTTATATATGTAAAAAAAAAAAGCATCTACTCAAGACCATCTGGCTGCAGGACAGCTCCTTCCCACCAGAGGGCGCGACAGGCGCAGGAGGGCGCAAAAAGAGCGAATCTAGCCACAGCCTTAAAAAATTCACAATTCACCGTCCAATATTCAGAGATGGACTCAGACCCAAAACTCAAACCCCATGATAGACACACAGAGGACAAATACAAAATGAACCAAAGCCAAGGTGCAATGTCTGTTCCACTTCCTGTAGTGGGGTATGAGGAGGAGGCTGCATGCTAGTATTTGGGAATAACCATCTGGTAGGCATCACAGTCGCCACGCTGTTCACCCTGCGCTATCTTCATAGCTCTGACCTCCCTCCAAAAGAAGCGTGGCCATTTATTTACTTATTTATTGTCTTCTGGTTAAGGGTAGGGCTTGAACTTTGTCCCTTTTGTCCATTCTGAGCCAGTGGCACCTAGGGTCGAGCCCATTACAGCAAGCACTATCGATGTATTAGGGATGAATGGAGGGGGCAATAGGGACCAGGAGACAGCTGACAGGGAGGTAGAGCGGGTGCCTGCAAGACTCTGGGTCCCTATTATGTGTTCTGGCCTTGGCTTTTGGGGCATCTCCTTCCAACCTCTTTTTGTGTCCTCGGGGTATAGCCATGTCTTGCCAGCCTGATGTGCACATGCCTTAGAGCAGCTCTTACCCTCTTAGCCCTCCTACGTCAGCCCAGTTCCCCTCTTCCTCCTCTCTGCCACACTGCATCAGTCAGAGCTCTCCAGAGAGGCCAAGCCAAGAACACACACACATAGCTCTATAGGAAGGGGTCCTTGGAGAATTGGCTCTTGTGGTTGCAGAGGCTGAAAAGGCAGCAGTCCGTCTGAAAGGCTCTGGGTGGCTTTGCCCAAGTCCAGTGCACCAGGGCAGCAGAAGGTGGTTGAACACGGAGAGGCTGTCTCTATTCTGAGTGGGACAAAGAGGTCTAGGGAAAGGGGCATCTTATCTGGCAGGAGCAGAGTGCCCAGTGTTGTTCTAGGGTATTCCAGGATGGACAGGGCCATTAGGCAAGTGGTGTTGCCTATGCTGAGCTTAAAACAGAGGCCAGAAGATATCCAGAATATGTCAGGAGGCAGAGCTCAAGAGGCAGCATATTGAGAGGCCCTGAGGTGGCCACAAGAGTAGCATGCCGCCTCGCCATCGGGTTTTGTTTACTTATTTTTGTCTTTCTTCTCCTCCTCCCCACACCTGGGTCTCATGAAACCCAGGTTGGCAGCAAAACCTTTCTCTGTAGCCAAGAATGGCCAGATCCTCTACGTCCTTGGTGTGCCCTGGAGTTACAGGCATGTACCACCATGCCAGCTCCTATCAGGTGTTTTTTTGGTTTTGGTTTTGGTTTAAGACATGGTTTCTCTGTGTAGCCCTGGTTGTCCTGGAACTCACTGTGTACACCAGGCTGTCCTGGAACTCACAGAGATGTGCCTGCCTCTGCCTCATGAGTGCTGGCATTAAAGGCGATACTCTCTCTCTCTCTCTCTCTCTCTCTCTCTCTCTCTCTCTCTCTCTCTCTCTCTCTCTCTCTCTCTCTGTCTCTCTCTCTCCCTCTGTGTGTGTGTGTCTCTGTCTCTGTCTGTCTCTCTCTGTGTGTCTCTC